TTTTATATCAATGTAAAAATAAAAAAATAAAAGTGTATAAATGAACAAAGTTCAACTATTTTAAGAATCCATTTTGCGATGATATTATTATTATTCTTAGCACTAAAAATAATATATAGGATATTAATATATTTGTGGAATATTTTTAGAATATTTTAGAGATTTAAAACAGATATAAAATTGATATATAGAAATATTAATTAAAATTTATTTTTTTTAATTATAAGCAATTTAATTTTATATTAAATAAAGCGAAATGAAAAGAAAGTGATTTCAATTAAAAATAGAATTATCTTTTTACTTGTGTCTTTATTTTAACGTAAACTTCAATTACTTATAACTTAATAAATAAATTTGAATTTGACATTTTTGCATACCAATTTTTAATAATTGTTTTGATCTCTAGAATTAATGTAATTTAAATGTAATCTATCAATATTTCAACAGCCTATATATATAAAATAAAATAAAATGAAATAAAAATAATATTAATATATTAATAATATATATTAATATTATTAATTATTAATATACTTATTTAATAATTATTATATAATGATTTATACAGAATCGAAGTGCTAGAGTAAGCGTGAGCAATGAAAACAATATATTATTGGACCCAGAAGTATTGACAGATTTTTCTATTCAAACTTTGGTTTTAACTGTTTTGGTGACTTTAGTTAAAAATTCAACCGACGAAAATGAACAACGGATTCTTTATGAATATCTTGCAGAAGCTTCAGTGGTCTTTCCAAAAGTTTTTCCTGTAATGTAAGTTTTCGTTTTTTATATTTTTAATATATCATATATTGAGGGAATTAATATTACTAATATTATTATTAACATTTTTAATAACATAATTTCTCTATCAATGAGAGTGTATTCATTTATCATCAATTTAATCAATTACTTGTTTTAAAATTTTCTCAATTTTTAAAACAAAATGAGATTATTGAAATAGAATAGAAAGGAATTGTTAAACAACCACAAATAATAATATAATATTTTAAAATGAGACTATTAAAATTAAAAAAATTAATATAATAAATTTAATTTTTTTATAAATTATACTTTTTCAAACGGTAATGAAAGTTAAATCATATTTTTTGTATGTATGTATAAACCTAATCATGATTCATACAAAATATTAAAATATTAAAATTTAGACAAAATATAAAATATATTGATAAATGAACTAATGGATGATATATGTATATATATATATCATATGCGTGTGACATAATATATAATTATAATATATTAAAATATTAAACACAAGATAACAATATGATCATAAAGTTAGAATAGTTCAAAATAGCATAATTTTCAATTTTTTTTCATGTATCTAATATATATATTTGTTTGATATAACGATATTACTTACTCTTTATCAATGGAATTTCTTTAATACAAATATTTATTAAAATATTTTATAAATTATTCATGTCTTTACCATAATATTTTTATATAATGATATAATAGAATTATTGAATATATCATTAAAAAAAAAAACAATCTCACAAATATAGCTTTTTGAATATTCATATTCATTTTTTTCTCTTAACATTTTTTTATTATTTGCAATTGATAATTATATTTAGAATGATGTCTTTCTAAGAATTTGGATAAATAACATTTTATAATCTTGCTTTATTTTGCAATAAATCTAAATAATTATAAATAATATCATGCTATATTGTATTAATTTTTTTTTAATATGCTATTTATATTAATAATATATATATTTTACAAAATTCATATTCTTATAAATGAAACTTTATATTTATTTTAAATCTGATTATATTAATTTTTTAATTTATATTTTTTATTCTTATCTTTATATTCTTATATTTATGAATTATATCCTATCTAGTATATAAAATAAATATATAAAAAAGATTTCAAATATTAGAAATTGCTATTTTGCAGAAATTATTAAAATGATTTATTTATTTAAAATAATTTATAAATAAATCACTTATACACATATTTAGAAAATTTAATTTTGTGAAATTGTACGTTATTTTGATATTATTTCAATTCTTTTACAGTCATAATTTACTTGATGCAAAAATCAATAACGTATTATCTTTCTGTCATGATCAATGTATATTGAATTCTGTACAAGCAATTATACAGAATATGATCGCATGTGAGGATACAAGTCAACAGCAATTACATTACTTGCAAAGTTGTGGATTTGGTGGATTATGGAGATTCGCAGGTCCATACACAAATGTAAGAATACATTTATAATTATTTAATACGTAGTTATTTTCAATTTACATATAATATATATATATTATAACAATAAAAAAATATATATATATATATTAATAACAATAAAATATATAAATTAATAAATATATATAGAAATAAATATACATTTTTAAAACATCGATTCTAGAAGCCAAATCAAACAAAAAACAAAGTACAAAAATATTGATTAAAATTTATTTATTAAATTATAAACAATTGAAGTTTGCATTAAATATATGTATTATTATATGTATTAGATATATATATATGAATTAGATTTAGATAGTCTTATTTATCTTCATCATATCACCGTTTCGCTTTTTCTTTATCTCATTTCATCTTACGCAAACTTAAAAAAAATATACTTATATACTTATATATTACTTATAACTGAATAAATAAACTTGAATTTTTATATTTATTTTAATAATATTATTATTCTATAATTTTTATGGTTTTTAAAATTTTTATTTAAAAAAAATAATTTATTTAAATTTTTTTCAAAATTTTTTTTGGTTTGAAAATTTATATTTGTACATATGTATATGTTGCAGTCTAATTGCACAGCCGAAAGTGCTCAATTATTTGTTAATTGCCTGGAAGCTATGGTGGAAACGTGTTTACCAATAGATGAACCTGAAATTTTAAGCACTGAAATCCCAAGTGAAAAATTTAAACGATCCGATGGTCATTATTCAGATATTGCACAAAGAGGCAAATCTTCAACTCATGGAACTGATCGATCAAGTGCCCGCATTTTTTCGGACAGAATGGACGAAGCTTCTCATAATGCTTCTTTTATTCACAGAAAGTAAATAATTGATAGTTAATTGAAATATATTTTAAATATTAAAAATATGAAATAATATAATATAATTTTATTAATATATATTATTATTGATATATTAATTATAAAATATATTAATAATATATTAATAAATTAATATAAATTTAATAAAAAAAATAATTTTAGTCGCAATATAGAAAGCAGAAATATTTCATTGGATTCAAACCAAGAAGAAAATATTATTAATAATAGTAACAATTCATTACCTTAGCGATTAATATATGAATCTAAAAAACAATGCAGTAAACATGGACGAAAAGGACAAGTAGGTCGAAAATTACAAAGACAATTAAGGTATGTTATATATTTCCAAGTTGTAAAAAAAGTTAGATTAATAATTAATAATAATTAATAAAATGATATAGAATTATATACTGTTCATTGTTGAAAAAAAGTTTCACGGAACGACATAGGAGCAAGAAAAGTCCTTCGCTACAATTGTCTATCCATTTTAGACACTTTGTTGACAATCCTAACTCCACATATTAATATAGTAGTAGAAAAACTATGATTTAAATCGGAGTATACGTAACAAATATGCTAGAAATAAAAATGCGTGTGAAAATAGGTCTCCCACATAACTATTTAACTAATCTGATCTGCATTTCTTCTGCGAGACTTTTTTTCAGCAGTGAATAGTAAATACTTTTAGAAATTAAGTATTATTTTTTAATTTTAAAATTATTAATTTTATGATTTATCATATGTATATTTTTGAATCATTTTTGAAATTATTTTATATAATTATTATTATTGATATTATATTATTGAAATTATTTTATATATTATTTATATAATTATAAGAATTATTATAAGAATTATTAATAATTATAAGAATAATATAGATTATTGTACTAAATATTAAAAATTTATAGAATTATTTATTTATGCATATTTCATGATTATTACATAATGCATAAATATAATTTGCAAAATAGAAAAGAGAA